ATAGATAAACGATGACCTTTTTTTTTATTACGGAGGGGAAATCTTCAAAAGACATCCGCCCTCCCTGGGGGGAGGAGATGGGTTTGTGCGGAATTCTTAGATATACGATGACCTAGATTTTTACAAATAAATGATTCAACAATTTATCGCAATTTATGTATTAGTTATTTTGATTTCATATCTTTAGCGTCGAAATCAAATAATTAGTTTAGAGTTAATCAATCAATTTCAAGACTCTGTTCGTTTCAACAAAATAGTGAGTTAAAGTCAGGAAGAGAGGAAACGAATTTTTCTTAGTATACAAAACGCAACTGGAATTTGCATATATTCACGTGTTCCCTCGCAATATGTGAACGTATCATGGTGTTGGTACGAACAGTATGGTGATTATCTATGCAAATTAAGAAACTTTAAGAATTTTATTCCAGTATACTCGAACATCAACATTCCACTTTTCTAACATGCGTTTGTTGTTTAATGAAACATGTAGAAAAATCAATACGTTACTTAATACATTGTACATGATAAATTATATTGAATTAATACAGAGATTTAATACTGAATATACTAAATTGAGTTGAATTGACAGTGTTAAAAAAAAACATCTTACCATCTATGATGAATTATAATTACAATAAAGTAGTACACTGTACGTCACAAATTAAATAATTTTTTATTTAGTATTAGAGTAGTAAATAAGAAACAGACGTTTGTACTTGCTTGAGAAGGAAAATTCTGCACAGAAAATGAAGTCATAGTTTATTTAACTCGAGCAGTAGGAAATATGAGTATTAAAAATAACGAATTTCAAATGTCAAGAGGCACGACAGAAATAGTTTCAGAATTTAGTTATTCAATTTGATTACAGTATTGCTTTAGGTAATCACGGTACCATCAGGAACGTACAATTTCAGGTGATTTCAAGTAAAAACTGTGCACCGTTGATGATTGATCGACTATAAAAACGCGGTCAGTAGATTTGCGTGAAATTGCGTGCCACGCGCAATTAGGACCTTGAGCGTACAATAGAAAAGTAAAAAAATTCGTTGATAGGTAGGAAACGTAAACGAAGAGTAATATACAAAATGAAATAACGTTTCATCGATGAACTTCTAAATTAAATGCTCATAAATTATTGCGGAAATGATGTTCTAATTGGAATGTTATTCCTCATGCAAATCAATTTGTGTTACTTGATTAGATATCGTCTGGGTTATCATACTTTCATGTCCGTTCCAATTGTTGATAATTCATAAATCATAATGAATATGCATAGTTCTTGCGTTCAAATAAATGTTAGGATATGCTCTTTGCCAGATTCTTTATAATTAAAATCATGAGCAACAACAGAACCAACACGCTTTGACATTGTTTTCGAATCATTTCAAAGTTTAGATTTGATAGTCCATCACAATATACATGCAGATCTACTAATATACATGCTCGTAGTTCTACTGTATTTCTCTATTGAGATATTTTCAAAGTTAAATTCTAACAGTTTATAGTAATTTACGAATGATCAGTATGAATTCAATTGCAGCATTGCACACGCCATGTAATAGCGATTCAGAATGTATTCATGGTGCATATTGCGTGCAAGCGAACAGTACTACAGCGCCTGGGAAACGTTGCTATTGTCATGAGGGATATTACGAGGAGTCTCCACTGCTTTGTAGTGGTACGTGAATCTTTATCTTCGATTTCTGGAGCTAAACTTAGCTACTTCTTAGTTAAATTTCATTGATTAGGTTTTATATAATAATCAGACTGCAGATTTTATGTATTTATGAAGAAATTGAATATGTAAAAAATATAAAAGTATATGAAATATTAAAAGCTACAGGCACATCAGAATTTAAATGATCAGAGAAATTACCATTTGCAGTGGCCCGTGCAAGTATGCATCTTATAAAACAGGATAACTTTTTTATTATTGGTGCAGACAATTTTTTTTTTTTAGATGCTAGAAGATATTGTCACTTTACTAGTAATATGTAAAGAAAGTTTGTTAAAAATTGTCATTGGTCGAAATCGGTTGAATAAATGTTAGAAGCCTCGAAATCTTTCAATTCATAGTATAATAATTCAGTTCTAAGCTCAAACTCGTCAAAAACGATTTTCTTCATTTGAAATCGTTTATAGATGCAGTAACATTAATAGATTTTTATGAAACATTATACACGTACATATCATGCTTAGACATGCTAAGATCTACGAAAGGGATGCTTTACATTTTTATTAGAGACCCCGATAAAATAGTTAGAAATCACGATTTTACTTTCTTCGTAATTTCGACCAATAACAATTTTTAAAAAATCTTTTTATACATAATATAGTAAACTAAGCCTTCGAGCATCTAAAAGAAAATTGACTTATTTGCTCCAATAATTAGAACGTGATTGAACATTTTCGTGAGTCATTACACATCACGTTCTTCAAATTGATATAATAAATTTTGCATAAAAATCCGCAGTCTAGAAATAATAAATATAATTGCATAAATTTTCAGATAAGTTTCTAATCATATACATATTTCTTCGCAGGTAGCGCATCAATTTTTACACTTCACGCAACGATTCTATTAACTTTAAGTATCGTGAAACGCAATTTCTGTTTCTTATAAATCTCTCGAATACCTTCAATACTTTCTTGGAGAATGTGACAAACTCTTGTTCGTTTTAACATTATGTAACTAACTTTGAATCAACCAAAAATACAATATTAAGATCATTTTTAATTCTACGTTAAGAGATACCTGTAAAAAAGCGTAATACAATTTTTTAAAGAAATGCAATTACAAAACACAAATATAAAAAATATATTATCACAATATGGATATAGTAGATTGTGATTAACGTGACTTTGCATTGTTTCAATTAAATATTCGAAGGGTGTATACAAAAGTATTTTTGGACGACTCACATCAAGAAAAAGTACACGTGTAACGTCAATCGATACGGAACGTGCTCTAATTTCTGAACGTCTCGTATTGTATACATATACATTATTACTAATCTCAATTGCCAGTTGGTTTTTCTATTAAAAAAATAGTATGGTTTAGTATACACAATATGTATTGTTAAACTGCGGATTTTTATACAAAATTTTTGTCATACCAATTTAAAGAATAAGATCTAAATGCTTTCTTTTTCTGTTCAAAAATTATTATATGCATTACATTTCTAATCTTTTGTAAATTCTTGCATAGTCCATGCATACTTTATATTTCTTGTACATCCAAATTTTTTTACAAATAGATAAAATCCGCAGTTGATTTATTATATAAACTGAACACTTCATCTTAGGAGTTAAGAAAAGATCGGAATTCTCTACAACTGAACCATGTGCGGGTTTCACGTAGTTAAGGTAGTAGGCCCGAAAATTAATTTTTTAAATTGTAATTATTATTTATCGATGACAAAATTTACTACAAGCCAGGCGACACGATAAACGAGGTATTCATTTTCAAAGTTTTATTTTTTAACATGTAATTCCTATACTGACGCGAAACTGACATTATTAATTATAACAACAAAAAAACTGCTTTTAAGCGGACACTCAGATTTAAAACTTAGAATGTGAGACGAGTTCTTTATTCATAAATAATTCTCTTAAATGTTTCTAATGGAGTCCTATAACTTTTACGCATTTTATCGTAATTAAATTATCTCTCTTGTTGTGTGGTAATGTTTGAAAAAAAATAGCTTTCACTATATGTGTACAACTGTTAGTTTTTATTTCCACTTCCTAGAGCAGATGTGTTACTCAATTAAAGCATCCCTGAGTTATTAAGTCAGACTACTATAAATATACTTGATATTTATTCAATTCATATATGCAACATTTTCTAAACTGTTTTATTCATCATCTGATATTGCAAAACTAATTAAAAAAAAATAACAATTGTGTGAATTTATGAACGATAAGATCTTATTTCATTAAGGAAAAGACTAATGCAGTGTGTGTGACGAAAAGAGATCAGCAGTGATTATAAAAGATATCCCTTTTGTTCACAATTTATATAATCCCTATTCATGACAAGTTACGTAAATAGATATTATGTATGTATAATACACTGTCCGAAATTTTTATAAAATCGACTTTATTTACAAGTACATTTTAAATGTACTTGCAAAAATTTATGAAAGCCTTAAAAAAAGAAGCCAGCTTATTTCCTGGATCTCAATCCTATCGCAAATCTGCGGGAATACTCGTGAAAAGAGTTTTTTGGTTCGTTCTACATTATGTTTCCTCATTTCCATTTTCGAATAAATATTATTTCTATTATCACTGTTAATTAAATATGTTAGTTAATCTCAAAACGATATCATTTACAAAATAATGATTATTATAGAAATACTATGAAGATTGTAATTGCATTAAGAAACACAGCCTTATGGAAATTTCGGACAGAGTGATTTGATTCAGTAGCTGAAGTAATAACTGTTAATAGTACATACGTTATGTATAGACAATTATAGCCATGTATACATAGGTACAATTCTTATATGCCAATAACGCCTGGAATACCAACGACTGTATGAAACAAACTATATAATAGTTAATAATTAAATAGATACTAACAGTTTACGCTTACACGGATTTATCAATACACAAATATACACCAGCATCTATTTCGATTACAATGCATAGCATTTTATAACGTTTGTAAATTGACGATAGAACTGTAGTAAATTGCATTATTCATCCTATCTATGTGAATATGTTATTAACACGAATATTAAATCGAGCACTAATAAATATTTCCGTACTCTAAATATTTATTATAGCATTTTTAATTGTAATTATATGTTGGTCGTTATTTAAGGAAAAGTCAATTAAAAAGGTAAATAAACGGAAAACGTACAGTTCATTAATCAACTCCTTTATTAATCATTTTCTTTGTAGAACTAATTGTGTTACAGTGTTTCCTTTTTGTCCACCGAAGGTGAACGTATCCGCCGGGAGAATGTGTAAAACGTTGAAATCTGTGAAGAGTAATGGGTAATGATACCATAACATAAATTTTTATAAGTAGATTGCGGATTTGATGCATTCATAGAAAAATTAAATGTGCAGAATTATTCGATCAGGTGCAGGTAGTAAATTAATAGAGCAATGAGTTCACTCTATTATTTCAGTTAATATTAAGTATTAATTGTCTAGCTGTCAATGTTGTTGAGAAATAAGATTTAATTTTGGCATATATGTATAGAAAGTGGGTCGGGAATCGTTTAGGGTAGCTGTATGGTATAATTGTAATGCTAAAAACAGAGAAAAGAACAACATACAGAAAGAAAAACGGAGCACATCACGAAATTTGAAAAAAATTCCTCCCTAAAATATATTTTTGAAATTGATACCACAAACGTTCTGTTGTGTAGAAAAATCCGCAATCTAATTGTAAAGATGATAGAAAGGAAATTGAATAAAGAAATTCTTTCTGATGAACTCACAATTTTGGAAATGTTTCTCTATTTCCTCCTTAGTCCAATTGCATGACGTTAGAACTAAATATCCAGAAGGCAAGAGAATTTTGTGTATATTCTCTATGTACTTCTGTCGTTTCGATGCAGGATCTTGTGGATGTAAACTGATAGCATCGTACGTTCCCTTATCATGCACTAGCTTAAAATCCGATGACAAATTAAACGTTTCAGAATCTAATATATCGCAAGCTTGTAAACCGATATGAGAGGTATTATTTTCTACAAATACTTCACGGGCTAAGTCAATCGCCTTCTGTGAGTAGTCTATTCCTATCAAATTTTCAAAACCTTTCTTAGCAAGTTCGATCAACGTCATCCCATTTCCACATCCTACATCGATTATTTTGTCGTCTTTGTTAAGATTTAATTGTGTAGTGATCCAACTGAAATATTAATTATTTTAATTTTAACTGTCAGTAGAATATAAATTTACCCTCCTTGAAAATGTTTCAAATATATTTATATTAACACCGAGGAGAGATTATCTCTCTTACACATCGTTGAAACAATTATAATATGAATACCCTGATATGAAAATTGAAAATATAATTTACTTGACGTACAATGACGGTATATTGATCACTCACAAATTACGAAACTACTTTTGCAAAATTAATATCGTATTACCAAAAACCTTCAGTAAACATATTAAATATAAAATGAAGCTTTTTACCAAATTTCCTGATCTAATCTGCGCGGGCTTTTTATCTACCGGCAACGGTAGGTATTGAAATCTACAAGAGATGGCATCATCAGCCAGATTGAAGCGTTGTCCATGCGAAATGACATTTGACGTCGCATAAGTATACAGTATCTTTACGACCGCGTTGTACGCGTGTTTTTCGGGTCGTTATTTAAATATTTTCCGTATCCGTTGTCCGAACAGCTTACCGTATGACTTTTAGTGTATTATTTCTACCGAACCATATCTCGCCCACGTCTCCGTGTTCCTTGAAATTATCGAGTTCTTCCGCGTAAACCCTGTCCCAGCTGAAATATAATTGTGACAAGTAAAGTAATGCTTATCGAGCGCTGCACATTCGCGTACACGGTATGTAATTTAATCAATTTAACTTACTACATTACTTACTAATCGAGAGTGCCTAAATCCGACGGTCCCAATTCTTCAATATTTTCATCTGTCATGATTTCACACGAAAATGATGATTAAATTTGTTTTCACGGAATCAAATATACTACACGTAATATATCGAATTTTTATTTAACCGGCAGTTATCACAGTTGCGTTTGAACTGAATATTTATCGTAACGTGACGAACGTATAATCACGTTATGTGTAACTTCGTTCAAACAAACATAACCCTACTTCGATGAATCTAACCTGTACGCGACGGCATTACATGTACTGTGTTCGTATAAGCGTGATAGTGCAGAAATCATAATCCAATATCTGATATTTGCTGGTCACTTTTACCGAAAAGTGTTAATTCGTTAAACATGGTCAGTAAGTTAATGAATGTACTCCAATATGGTAAGTAGTTATTACATTTATTACACTTTGCTTAAGCAGTGAAATTTATACATATAATTCTGTGAATATTAAGTACAAATGTACAGTTATCTCCTTGTTATAAAGTAATAATAGAAGAGAGAATTTATTTTCTAATGATATGTCACATGCATAAAAATTCGCAATCTATTAATTCTTCAGACTTGTTTCTGTTAAATTGATTTCTACTGTTATTTAGGAAGGCAATGCGTAAGATCTGTTTTGCCTTGCCGTCAGTTGTCTGCAAAAGCAGATTTGAAAGTACAGAGTAATGCCAAACCGAAGACAGGTATTATAATGTTAAATATGGGTGGACCCAGTAGCATTGCGGAAGTGCCCGAATATCTGTTGCGTATAATGACCGATCGTGATATGATTCAACTACCGTTTCAAAGGTTTCATCAGTCGAAATTTTAGTCATCCACAACTAACTTCGTAGAGATTCCATATCCTAATATAAATTGCAGTAAACTGGGTCCGTTGATAGCTCAATCTCGTGCGCCCAAAGTACAAAAGAAATATGAAGAGATCGGTGGCAAATCTCCTATCTTAGACTGGACGAACAAGCAGGGTGAACTTTTGTGTGAACAGCTAGACAAAGTTTCACCAGAAACAGCACCACACAAACATTACGTTGCTTTTCGTTATGCCAAGCCTCTCACTTCAAATACGCTTGAGAATATGGAGAAGTAAGAGGTTGATTTGTCTGTGAATATGTATTATTGATAAGAAATAAAATATGCGTATTTAAATTGTAGAGATGGTGTTGAACGTACAGTACTTTTCTCTCAATATCCTCAATATTGCTGTGCTACAAGTGGGTCAAGCTTTATTGAGATATATAAGTATTATAAGAACAGGTAAATAGATATGATTTCCATTGCAACAGCAAATTATTATCTATGTATCTGCAATAACACGATAGCAGAGTTTCGAACAGAGTTTTAATACACGTAACGTTTATTATATTCCATTTATTGAATACACTTCTTAGGACAGAGATTTATCAATTCTATTCATGACACAATTCTATACTAATACGCACACTACGAATCTTCGTGCAAAATAAAACATTTATTGTATCAATTTAAGAATGTATTTTAGGTAAACAATAATTTTACCATTTAAATATTGCAATCAGCATCCATCTCCTTATATTCTATAATGTTTTATACATTACACACAGCGTTTATATTTTCGGCATATTCAGTGTTGTTCTAAATGTATAAAATTCACTATCTACGCGTTTATGAATGTAATATTTTTATTAAAAAAGAGAATTGAAGTTCTCAATTAGTCTTTTGTACAATTTTTCTTTATAACGGATAATGAACTTAATAGGTTTTCTCATAAATTGGAAACGTAATAAATAAAGACTTAGGTTTTAAAAACGTGATGCAGTTTATTAATCCTCGGTCATCACACTTATCTCCAATTACAGGATTGTCACATTGGTTCTATTACAATTTTCAAAGAGTATGTCTTTCAAAGTCAATTGGCATAGTTTGAAACTATCAGTTATATAAAAGTAGACAGCGAAAAAAATTGATGGTCATGGTGAGGTTTTAGTGGTGAAGAGGTAGAGTTAAAATTCAGCTGCCTTTGTGCGTAAAAAATTAACAAAAAATATAATTATTGGAAAGAATTAGTTTTTATATAAAAAAAATCATAAGTTATTTAATTGTCGTAAGTTGAAAATTTTCATAGTTATTGAAATATGATAGAAATATATGTAGTAGTTTATAATTTAAAAAAACAATAAGGAAGTAGTTTTTACCTTGACGTTCCTGTACACAAAAATTTGCTATCGTTTTAATGCAGACTGGAAACGCATTTAATTAGTAAAAACTAACTTAAAGTTGCGCGGAGTGTTAAAACAATAAAAATAGCGTATACATTTGTAAAATGTTTACATAAAACGGCAACTAGAAACCTGAAATTTACAGGCAACTGCCTTCTAACATGAAATGGAGTGTAATTGACAGATGGGCGACGCATCCATTATTAATAGAGACAATTGCAGATAGAATTAAGGAGCAGTTAGTTCAATTTCCAGAGGACATAAGGAACGATGTTATCATTTTATTTTCGGCTCACTCGCTACCACTGCAGGTTACATGTCAATTTTCAGAACAAATATACGTTTCATTGTTATCACTTGTCTTTGTTATCAGCAATTGTCTTTCCAATTTCGTCGTAGGCTGTATCTAGAGGTGATGCATACGCATCCGAGGTAGCAAGCACCGTCTCTTTAGTAATGGAAAAATTGCGAAATTGTAATCCATACAAATTGGTCTGGCAATCAAAGGTATCGCCTTCATTCTTTGTTTTATTAGTACAAACTTTAAGTTACCGTGGAGCAACTCGAGAAATATACTTTTGCTTGCAGTTTCGCATTGTAAAATATATGTCAATTACCCTTCCCCTTTTTTCTTCGTTCAATTTATCTTTAGAGTGTGTTGGCATCACAGTTTATGAAACTATAATGTGCATTTAGGTCGGGCCTGTAGCTTGGTTGGAACCTTTTACTGACGAAGCTATAAAAGCTTACGTAAAGCAAGGGAAAAAGCATTTCATATTAGTTCCAGTAGCTTTCGTTAACGAGCATATCGAAACTCTTCACGAGTTGGATATCGAATATTGCAAAGAACTAGCTGAAGAAGTAAGTGCAACCGCGTGCACTGAAATTTCTATAAAGTCACTGTTTTCTTTAATGAAATCTTACGTGATAATGGCTTTATGAAAATTTCGGGCAGTGATTAAAGGTAGTTGTTGCCCTATTGTAATTAGTCAGGATAATGCTTAAAAATAAACAGCTACAAATAAAATATGAATTTTGATTATTATATCATGCTATAAAATGAAAAATAACTACTTTAGGAAAGAATTATACACTTGTATGTTCCGGCTAGTTGGAGCTGAACATTGAGTTTCTCACAGTCGGCGTGAAGGACGATAACATTTAGAATGTTATTGCGTAACTAGGTCGTCAGTAATCTCAAAAAATCGATATGCTTTATTATAGTCTACTCCTGTTTCGTCACATGTTTCAAATATTTATCATTATTCGATTAATTGCAATAGCCGAAGAAAGATATTTTTCTCGTGCCGATGTCATTATCCCAATGTTAAATTATGGTATTTGCGAATTTTTATTGGCGATATCTCGAAAACAAGATGGTCAATTTACCTAGGGTTTTGGATACATTCTTTGATACCTATATTACTTTTGTACAAAATTTTAAGCAATTTTCAATACTTTTGACTTAGGCAACAACTACCTTAACACATTCGGGACCGGTAATAATTTATAAATCAATACAAAGTCTTTTTTCGTTCCTAGCTTGGCATCGATACAATAAGGAGAGCAGCTGCACCTAATGACCATCCTAAGTTTATAGAAGCCTTGACAGATATCGTCCTGTCTCATCTTAAATCGGAAAGGCCGATAAGTCCCATGTTCTTAACACGTTGTCCTCATTGTGAGAGTAACAATTGCGTTGAAAGCAAGAATTGGTATGCGCAAATATGTAAAAATTAAAGAAGTCTGCGTGTTATTTTTAATATACAAAAATAAAATATTTTCTTCTGATATATTAAACAATATATATAATTTTTTACGGTACGTATCCGTTATGTTATAATTTAATTTGTTGTATTAAATACTCGGCAAATTATAATATAATGCTTGGAATAAAGTGTTTGTGATACACGATAAATAATTTTGTGCTCTTCTTTCTTTTGTACACTTGGTTCCTACTTCATTAAAGAGTTATCCTCCTATTTTGTTAAAGATTACAAGAACTGTTTCCTTTTTCCTTTATTTTCCTTTAACTTCATTCGTAAATATAAAATAAAAGTAACTATGTACAGCAGAGACATTATTACGTTCCAATATCTTAGAAAATCCCATCTTACGAAAACCATAATGGAATTTATAGCAATCTTAAGTTCTGATATTATAGTTATGAAGTAGCAAATTTTACTATTTATGGCATAATGATTGAATTTTATATTTGTAAATCAAGGGAAACATAGTTAAATTCTGCAAAAATGGAGTTAAGAATTATTTTCTCTCGATGCTATTATTTAATAACTTTTTTAAAATTCTGAATGATTAATATTGTTAATATAAATAGTACCGACGTATGAGCATAAGAAATAATTGAGAGAATTAAGTAGAACAAAGTTAAAATTAAATGTGCAGAAATTATAATTCATTATTGCTAGCGCGCTATTTATAAATGTGTGTAGGAAATTAGTACAAAATATACATTTAATTTACTTTGAACAATTCTATTAAAAGTTTATAAAATAGGCGTTTAAATATTGTACGTTATTCTATATTCTGTGTGGGAGAGGAAAGTTTCATGAAATGAAATTGGAGGAAATGTAGAATAGAAGCATTTACATTCTCATGTAAAAATTAACTTTCTATATTGGCTTGATGAATTAATATTATAGAACATCGTGATAAAACATCGTCATAATGCACCTGTAAGAATGGTTGCGAAAAACTCATTTCCTTTCATTCTTTCGAACCTACAATAAATATAAATTCGAGTGTCGTGTGCTCGAGAATTAATGCTCAAGTATCAAAAGTTGAGATATTAAACTGCATTGTTGAACCGTTTAGATTGGGATCTCTATATAAAACTTCTATAAAAGAGGCATTTTTAGAAATAGTAATAAAAGTT